CAATTAAATAAGCCAATAACTTACAATGAGATAGAGGAAGCAATCAGAAGTCTTCTAACAAGGACCAGATGGATTCACTACGGAATTTTATAAAACCTTTAAAGAGGAACTAATACCCATTCTTCTCAAGCTCTTCGGAGAAACAGAAACAGTGAGCAGTCCCAAACTCATTCTATGAAGCCAATATCACACTCATCCCCAAATCAGGCAAAGAAAGAGAAAAAAGAGAACTACAAAAAAAGAGAACTATAGACCAATCTCTTTGATGAATATAGATACAAAGCTCAATAAAATTTTAGTCAACAAAATCCAGAAACATAAAAAAAATCATACATTATGACCAAGTAGATTTCATCCCAGAGATGCAGGGATGGTTTAACATACATAAATCAATAAATGTAATCCATCACATCAACAGATCCAAGATCAAGAACCACATGGTGGGTGTGGAAAAGGTTTTTGATAAAATACAATATCCGTTCATGTTAAAAGCTCTGGAGAAAACAGGAATAGAAGAAATGATCCTTAAAACAATAAAAGCCATATATGACAGATCAATAGCCAATATTATACTAAACTGGGAAAAACTACAACCAATTCTCCTAAAATCAGGAACAAGGCAAGGGTGCCCTCTCTCCACTTCTCTTCAATACAGTTAGTTCTTAGCCAGAGCAATAAGGCAAGAAAAGAACATTAAAGGGATCCGGATAGCTAAGGAAGAAATTAAACTATCCTATTTGCAGATGACATGATATTATACTTTAATGATCCCCAAAACTCCACTCATAAACTCCTAGAGCTTATAAACCACTTCAGCAAAGTAGCAGGATACAATATTAACCCACAAAAATCAGTTGCCTTTTTGCACACCAACAATGTACAATCAGAAGGGAAATCAATCAAGTAAACAACGCCATTTACAACCTCAAAAAAAATATTTAGGAATTAACCAAAACAAAGATCTCAAGGACCTATTTAGTGAAAACTATAAAAGCCCAAACAAGTGGTGCTGTGGCTCAAGCGGCAGAGCGCTCGCCTTGAGCTGAAGAGACAAGGACAGTGCCCAAGCCCAGAGTTCAAGCCCCACGACAAAAAAAAAAAAAACCAGAAAAAACAAAACCTTAAGGGGGCTGGGAAGGTGGCTCAGTGGTAGAGCGCTCACCTTGCATACATGAGGCCCTGGGTTCGATTCCTCAGCACCACATAAACAGAAAAAAAAGCCGGAAGTGGCATTGTGGCTCAAGTGGTAGAGTGCTAGCCTTGAGCTGAAGAGCTGAGGGACAGCGCCCAGGCCCAGAGTTCAGGCCCAGGACCGGACCACCCCCCGCCCCCCCAAAAAAAGCCCAAAGAAAGAAATCATAGAGGACACCAAGATATGGAAAGAGCTTCCATGTTCTTAGATAGGCAGAATTAATATAGTGAAAATGACCATACTGCCAAAAATGATACACAAATTCAATGCAATTCCCATAAAAATTCCAATGACATTCTTTACTGAAATAGAGAAAACAATCCAAAATGTATACCGAACAACAAAAGACCTAGAATAGCCAAAGAAATTCTAGGCAAAAGAAACAACGTGGGAGAGATCAAGATACCATAATCCAAGCTCTAGTATAGACAAAGACAGCTTGGTATTGGCATAAAAACAGACCTGAAGACCAATAGAACAGATTAGAAGATCCAGTAATAAAATCACATACCTATAGTCAGCTGATATTTGGCAAAGGAGCCAAAGACACACAGTGGCAGAAGCAAAGCCTCTTCAACTACTGGTGCTGGGAAAACTGGGAAGCCACATGCAGAAAACTAAAAGTGGACCCCAGCCTGTCACCATGCACTAACATCAACTCAAAATGGATTAAAGACCTTAACATCAAACCTGAAACTCTGAAACTACTGCAGGACAGAGTAGGAGAGACACTTGAACTTATAGGCACAGGCAGAAACTTCCTAAACACAGTCCCAGGGTCACAACAAATTAGAGAGAGGCTCAACAAATGGAACTACCTCAAAATAAAGTTTCTGCACAGCTAAAGACATAGCTACCAAACTAGAAAGACAGCCAACTAATTGGGAAAATATTTACCAGCAACATATCAGACAAATGCCTACTATCTATCATACACAGGAAATTCAAGAAACTGATCCCTCGCATATCTAACAAACCAATAATTAAATGGGCAAGGGAGCTAAAGAGAGACTTCTCAGAAGAGATAAAAATGGCAAAGAAACACATGAGGAAATGTACATCATCCCTGGCTGTAAAGGAAATATAAACAAAAAACAACCCTGAGATACCACCTTACCCTAGTCAGAATGGCCCACATCCTAAATTCAGCCAATGACAAATGCTGGTGGGGATGTGGAGAAATGAACTCTATTGCATTGCTGGTGGGAATGTACACTAATACAACCACTTTGGAAAACAGTCTGGAGGTACCTCAGAAAGCTAAATATAGACCTCCCCTAAGACCTAGCCATACCACACCACTACCCTGAGCAACAGGAACCATGATACAAGGACACATGCACCTCCATGTTCACAATAACCAAGATATGGAAACAACCCAGATGCCCTACTATAGATGAATGGATCCAAAAACTATGCTACCTTTACACAATGGAATATTATGCAGTCATTAGAAAGGACAAAATAACAGCATTCACAGGGAAATGGATGGAACTAGAACAAATAATTTTGAGTGAGGTGAGCCAAGAATAGAGAGACAAATGGCACATGGTCTCCCTGATATGTGGATGTTAAATCCAAAATGCAAGGAGATATGACAAAGTAAACAGGACTCAAGAAACAAAGGACCTCCACTCAATTCATTGTATCATTTCTAAATGACTCCATGTTCTTGACTACACACACACACACACACACACACACACACACACACATGCACATCTGAGGAAAGCTAGGAGGAAAGCACAAAATCAGAGTGAAACAGGAAAATATATAACAGACTGGCCCATAAGCTGCATTGGACTTAGATGAAAATGAACTACATAACTCAAGGGCAGTGATGGAAGGGAGGGAATGAGAGGGAAAGAAGGAACAGCTTATATTAAGCAAAAGGAGAGTAATGTACGTATCACCCAGGGTGGAAGAAAAAAGTTGTATTGTCAAAGCTCATAGAATTCACAAACATTATAGACCATGATAATGACAATTTGCCTTGTGAAGGTTAAAATGTGTTTGTGAGTTTAAGTATCATCACTATCTCACAATAGTGTGAAATTTGTGAAATTTATGTAATCAGTTAATCTCAATAAAAAATTACATAAAAAAGAAATAAGCAAACTATGGGCAGGTGGAAGTAAAGTGATAAGAGATTAGGTAGTCATTTGAAGATTGTCACTGACTACCTAGAGACTTAAAGGATAAATAAACAATCAACTGTACTACTTGGACTTATTTCTGATGAGGGGCTATTTATTTTATGTATTTTTTTTGTTGTTTTTGGTCATGGGGCTTGAACTCTGGGCCTGGATGCTGTCCCTCAGCTCTTTAGCTCAAGGTGAGCACTATACCCACTTGAACCACAGGGCCACTCCAGTTTTCTGGTGGTTAATAGATAAGAGTATCACGGACTTCCTTGTCTGGGCTGACTTTGAACCATGATCCTCAGATCTCAGCCTCCTAAGTAGCTAGGATTATATGCGCCCTGCTTGGCATTTATTTTTAAAAATTAAGGACAGTGTAAGATTAAAAGCAGAGACATCCATGTGACTTGTGACATGAAGGTAAAAAACATCTAATACCAAGGTATGCTAAAAGAGTAGCATAATAAGTTTTAATTCCAAGTAACAAAAGTATTATTTATAAATATCAAAAACTCTGGTTGGTGCTGGGCACTGTTGGTGTATACCTAGAATACTAACTACTACCTAGAATACTAACTACTAAGGAGGCTAAGATCTGAGGATCATGGTTTGAAGACTGCCAGAACAGAAATGTCTTGAGACTCTATGTCCAATTAATCAGAAAGACAGGGAAAGAAAAACAAAACAAAACAAAACAAAAAAACAACAACTAAAACTGAACTGGAGGCATAGCTCAAGTAGTAGAGTACCAGCAATGAACAAAAAAGCTTAGTTAGGGTTCAAGGCCCTAAACTCAAGCCCCAGTACACACAAACCCACACCTATATGCACCCCCCCCCCACACACAAATAATTCTATTGCCTGGTACTCACAATCCTAGCTACTCAGAAGGCTGAGATCTGAGGATAGAGCTCAATGCTAGCCTAGGCAGGAAAGCTATCAAAAAAGCCAGAAACAGAGCTGTGACCAAATAGTAGAACATTAGACTTGAGCAAAAAAAAAAAGCTTGGGATGGCACCTAAGCCCCAAGTTCTAGCCCCAGGACTTTTACCAAAACCAAAAACCAAAACCAGCTGGGCACTGGTAGCTCACACCTGAGATCTGAGGATCGTGGTTTGAAGCCGGCCTGGGTAGAAAAGTCCCCATGAAGAGACTTATCTACATTAACCACTCAAAAACTGGAAGTGGTGCTGTGGCTCAAGTGGTGGAGCAATAGCCTTGAGCACAAAGAGGCTCAGAGACAGCACCCAGGCCCTGAGTTCAAAGCCTCACAACCACCAACCAACCAATCACACCCACACCCCCACACAGACACAACCCCAAAACCAACAAAACGAACAAACTACTACCACCACCAACAAACCCAACTGTGGTTGGCTTATAGGAACCTAAATCTGTTTGGAATTGCAATTGTACTACAATAGAACAAACTACACAGATCAGTGAGTCTTCCAGTTCTTTGAAATTTGAATAGCAGAAGCTCATTTCCAGAGTGATTCTTGTTATAAAGAACATGTCTAAAAACTTATTACTCTTTAAATAAAAGCCATCAAACACCTTCCAAAGCAGTACATGAATCATTAAGGAGCTTTAAAAGTGCTCAGGAATATGAAAACATAGGACAAAACAAACTTCTGACCCATTCATCAAAACCCCTCCGGTTTTACCTGGCTGCTGCCTTGCTGAGTAGTTCAGTCCATCGACTTTCAAGACTCTCCAACTGCCCAGTGATTTTCTCTCTATCAGCCAGTTCGGCTGACTGAGCTATTCTACCTCCTTCAGCTTGAAGCATGTCTACTGTGGCCTTTCGATCATCTAGTAGCCTCTGGAGCAACTACAGTGTTTTTAAAGAGAATGGAAAGTAACAACATAGGGTTATTTTCAAATCTGAAATAGGAGGAAAAAAATTAAAGCAATCCATAATCCTTCCCACCAAATTCTAGGCTTAATTTAATAATGTGTTTTTGTCCATCCTTCAGACAGAAGCCTGAGAACACAGTTCCAACCACCTCTCACAAAGTTTTTACACTTAAGTTTTTAAACAGTGCTTGTGATTGCTGTTATATAAAAACAGATTTCTTTTGTTTGCAAAAGAAAAAGAGAGCATTGAAAAATCAGTATAGGGCTAGGCATGGTAGTTCATGCTTCTCATCACAGCTTCTTAGGAGGCAGAGATGGAGAAGATCAGTTTTGAAGCCAGTTGGGGCTAAAAGTAAGACTTTGTCTCAATGAGTAAGTCAGCCACATTGGCATACTCCTGGGATCCCTGCTATGTGAGATAATAGGATAGCAGACTGGGGTTGGCCCTGGGCAACCTGAGGTTTGGGAGGCTTGGGGTTCAAGACCAGCCTGGGCATACATGAGAGACCCCCTTTTCAACCTACAGCTGAGCACAGTGGTGTACACTGATTATCTCAGTTATGACAGGAAGCCTAGAACAGGTGCATTGGAATCTACTCTCAAAAATAAACAAGAGTTGGGAAAACATGGGTGAAGATGTGGCTCAGTAAAGTCTGCCTAGCAAATGTGATGCATGCACATATTCCATAAGTATGGTTAAAAATACCTTGGCCTGACTGAGGTAATCATTTGATAATGCATATAAATATTAAAACATTGCCTTAAATATGGACAACTTTTGTCATATGCCTCAATGAAGCTGGAAAAATGAAATTTCTTTTAGGATCAACATTTTTAGATAGAAACATTGACACAGGAATTAAACAAAAATATACATAGAAACTTTTACATTCTATACAACAATATTTAGAATATTGCTGATGGTAAAACACTAGAAAGCTTTTAACATTAAGCTGTGGATGAGACTTCGAAATAGCTCAGTCTAGTTTAGTCTAATATACACCATAGTAAGCTAGTAAATTAAATAGTAAGCTAGTAAAATCAATTTCCACCTTCCCCTTTTCTCTCAGTGATACAGGGTCTCACTATGTACCCTTTCCTGGCCTTGAACTCAACCCTCCTTCCTCAACTTCCTGAATGTTGGACACACTCATGATTACAGGCATGCATCAACATGTCTGGCTCAATTTCTACTTTTCAAGAGAACATAAAGTAGGTAAAGATTTTTCTGACTTGCTCTTTAAACTATAAGCAAATGTATCATTTGCCACTCCGTACAGTTGTTTCAGTTCACTGTCCCCGCATTCTTACCTTCTGTTCTTGGATCTGTGCTTTTACCACTTTGTACTCAGCAGATGGAGGTTTCTGATTGGCTATGAGCTCCTCAGTATCTGCCAACCAACTGAGCAATGGCTCTAAGGCATCTTGAAACTTCCCACAATGCAGCAAAGCCTCCTGTAGTTGGGCAATTCTTTGTGCAACCTGTGTCATCAAAGGGAAGCTTATTGTGAGAAAAGAGGTTTTAAATTACTGACCCCCTTTAAAACTACAGATTGCAAGCACTAAGTTTTTATTACATTCAGGTTCTAGAGAAACTTCAGATTTAGAAACTTTATTTTTTATTTTTTTTGGGTCTGGTTGTGGGGCTTGAACTCTGAGCCTGGGCGCTGTCCCTCAGCTCTTCAGCTCAAGGCTAGCGCTCTACCACTTGAGCCACAGCACCACTACCAGCTTTTTTTTTTGCTTATGTGGGGCTGAGGTATCGAACCCAGGGCCTCATGCATGCAAGGCAAGCACTCTACCACTGAGCCACCTTCCCAGCCCTAGATTTAGAAACTTTAGATTCAATGCCTTCTGGTCCCAGCACTCTTGTTACCTGCTTGTCACTTACCTTTTTATTCAGTGTGTTCCATCGAGCATTGATCTCATCCATGTCATGTTCTAAACCCTGCACATCACAGTTTTTTCCTGCACTCTGAATTAATCCCTGGCCAAGTCCATTCACCTGCTGCAATTTCATCTGAAGAGGATCCACTTGTTCTTTCTGAAACATCTGAATAATTGCAAACCAAGATTTAACCATACACATTTATGACTTAATGAAGGATGACAAAGAATTGAAGAGAACAAGATAAGATACCTGAATGGTAAAGAATAAAAGGAACACATGGTTTCATATTTCAATACATCCTTCTATGGACATGTAATTAAAGACAATTATGGCATGGCTGACGTATCTTGACACATGACTCACTTAAAAAAATCAGTTGCTGGATGGGTGTCAGTAGCTAGTGCCTGTAATCCTAGCTACTCAGGAGGCTGAGATCTGAGGATCACGGTTCAAAGCCAGTCTGGACAAAAAAATCCCGATGAAACTCTTACCTCCAATTAACCGCTCAAAAAAACCAGAAATGGAGTTATGGCTTTAAGTGGTAGAGGCCTAGCGTTGGGCAAAAGAGCTCAGGGAAAGCACCCAGGCCTTGAGTTCAAGTCCCATGACTCAGTAAATAAATAAATAAAAATCAGATGCTTGGGAGGGGTTTGAACTCAGGGCCTGGACACTGTCTCTGATCTTTTTTGCTCAGGGCTAGTGCTCTACCACTTGAACTGCACATCCATTTCTCACTTTTTTAGTGGTTAATTGGAGATAAGAGTCTCAGGGTTTTTTCCTGCCCAATCTGGCTGCAAACTACAATTCTCAGATCTTAGCCTTCTGAGTTGACAGGGTTATAGACATAAGCCACTGGCACCTGGCTAATGATTAGTTTTTAATGCAAAAAGCTATAAAGAATAGTGAATCATCAGTCTCAAAATATGAGAAAGGGCAATATATATGAATCCAAAAAGGGAAGAATAATACCAAATAATGAATATTTAAAGATACTTTCAAAAGTAACATTGATTGATCACTGATAATTGGCATTGTACTTCTCTGACTAGGATGAATATAACTCAATCAAACATATTAATAGTATGAAAACAACAGCTTCACAGATTAATTCTCTGATGGACATTTAACTTCATTCCATTTCAGGGCCACACAGGGATCACACACAACTAATGATCTTGAAATAGTACATTGCTGATTACAATAAGTAAAGACCTAGAAATGTCCTTAACAATCAATCTCACACATATGCTAAGACAGATATATAAAATAATTTTAAAAAGATACTGTGTACCATGTTCATCATGAAACAATAGAGTTTTGGAACAGTGAACAATGTAATAACCAACTGCATATTGTTCTCTATTATAATTACAACTTAAAACATTTCTAAAAGGAAACAAAGTCAGAAGAAAATGATACTTATCACACTACCAGTCTAAAAGTAAAGAATGAAATAAATACATGTCCTGAAGGTCAGAATTCTCTCAATTACTCTGAGATGAAACTGGCATTGGGCACCAGTGGCTCCCACCTTTAATCCTAGCTACTCAGGAGGCTGAGATCTGAGGATTGCATTTCAAAGCCATCTTGGGCAAGAAAGTCCATGAGACTCTTATCTCCAATAAACCATCAGAAAACTAGAAATGGCCTTGTGGCTCAAGTGGTAGAGCGCTTGTCTAGAGCTGAAGAGCTGAGAGCCCCGAGTTCAAGCCCCATGACGAGAAAAAAAAAAAAAAAAACCAAAAAGATGAAACTGGTCATATTCTACCAGCCAGGATATACTTCCATTCTCATTTTCTTCCATTTAAAGTTCCCTCAAAATCAGTGACACAGGTTGAGTCAATTAAGGCTAAACAATAACAGAAAAGAGGTCAAAAATAAATATAAAAGAAAATTCTAAATTTGGGTAAGATTAATTTCAGTCTATATGGGACCACAGACCATACTGGGATTAAGAATGTCTATGGGTTGAGCAAGGTGTTGATGGCACATGCTTGTAATACTAGCTATTCAGGAGGCTGAGATCTAAGGATCGCTATTCAAAGCTGACTCAGGCAGGAAAGTGCATGAGACTCTTACTTCCAATTAACTATCAAAAAGATGGAAATGAAGCTATGACTCAAAGTTGTAGAGCACTAGCCTTGATCAGTGCCCATCAGAAGGATCAGCACACACACACAAAAATAGAATCTATGGTTGGGTGAGTAAGTAGAGAAGGAAAATCCCAGTAAAGACTGGAAAGGGAAGTTACAAAGGTAATTACCGGTGACCTTTACTTTGTACTATAATTTGATTATGCCGCGTTTTGTTTGGTAACATTACAAAGTAGAGTTCAGCTAAAATTATTTGTTTCTCCAATAACATGGATCCCAGAAAAAAAAAAGTGCCATAACTCTATTTTGTAACATTAAAGATACTATATTAAAGCCTGGAATAGTGGCTCATGCCTGTAATCTTAAACTACATGGGAAACAGAGCTCTGGGGATTGAAGTTAAAAGGAAAAAGGAGTTAAAAAGTTTGGGCATAGGGGCAGGGAAGGTGGCTCAGTGGTAGAGTGCTTGCCTTGCATGCCTGAGGCCCTGGGTTCGATTCCCAGCACCACCTAAGCAAAAAGAAAAAAGCTGAAAGTGGCGCTGTGGCTCCAGTGGTAGAGCGCTAGCCTTGAGCTGAAGAGCTGAGGGACAGCGCCCAGGCCCAGAGTTCAGGCCCCACGACCGGAACCATAAAAAAAAAAAAAAAGTTTGGGCATAGTATACACCTGTCCTAAGCTACAGCAGAACAATGTTTGTATGCAATAGCATATGCTTGTTATCCTAACAACACAAATAAAAGGCTCATAGTCCAGGCCAACCCAGACATATCAAGATACTACCTTGAAAATTATCAATACTAGCCAAGTGCTGGTTGCTTATGCCTGTAATCCTAGCTACTAAGAAGGCACCTTGAGGATGGCTTGAAACCAGCCCTGCAGAAGTTTTGTGAGACTCAATCTCCCAATTAACAAAATCCAAGACTGGAGGTGTGGCTCAAGTGGTGGAAAGCTGAGTGTAAGTGTAAAGCTCTAGGCTCAAGCCCCATGATTTTAGAAGAAAAAAAATTCCCTGAAGAAAAATCTGTAGAAAGGGAAAGGCTCTGAAATTTAAAGGTGTTCTGGTGTGATAAAAATGATGACTGGTGATGGGAGGTGGCAAGAGTTTGAAAGGCAAAGAACCAATTACACATAGAAAAGATGTTAAGTCCACACAAGAAGAGCCCCTTTTGCCCAGTAATCAAACCTGTCTTATACTACAGCTGGCAATAAAAAAATCTATTTGCTACTTATAGGTAAGTTTAAATAAACTTTAATAAATAAAAAATTACATTCCTGGGCTGGGAAGGTGGCTCAGTGGTAGAGCGCTTGCCTTGCATGCCTGAGGCCCTGGGTTCGATTCCTCAGCACCACCTAAGCAAAATGAAAAAAGCCGGAAGTGGCGCTGTGGCTCAAGTGGTAGAGTGCTAGCCTTGAGCTGAAGAGCTGAGGGACAGCGCCCAGGCCCAGAGTTCAGGCCCCATG